GAAAGCTTATGCCCAAATAAATTTGTTAGTCTCTAAGGTGTCACAAGGACTCCTCATTGTTTTTGCTGATACAGGCTACCACGGCTACCACTCTGAAACCTTTCTAATGACAGGTTTCCTGATTCTAATTGCCTGATTAACTCAGCAATTAAGCATTATTCAGCACTTCTTAAAGTCTTTTGCTCTGTGTCAACAGCACTGTCCGAGTTAACAGTTACCACTCTTACTAAATTCATCCTAACGCAACCAAGGGCATGTTACAGTAAAGACACATGACTACAATCAAAGTATACTATATCTGAGAGCCTCATAATTTTTAATGTATTTATCCTAAACACCTTGGTGAAGTATTAGGCACATTTTACAATTGGGGAACTGAGACGGAAACAAAGTGAGTTGCCCAGCTTCACAGAAGATGACTATGGCAAAGCAAGGATTGACCTTGGGTCTTACAACTAGCAGGACAGTGCCCTAACCGCTGGATCATACTTCCTCCCTAAATTTTTATTTTTAGGACAGGTTGGATTTAAGCCTACTTATGATGTTAGAACACAAAGCAAAACAAAAAAACGATGAGTTTGAAGTTCGATTATATTTTCTCCCTGTGGCCCTCAAAGATAATTTAGTTAGTTTGTGCCATTTTTGGTATGAAGGTAATTTAGGACCCGGTCTCTCACTGAAATCAGTGGACTCAGCACCTTATAGGAACTATATTGTAAATAACCATACTGAAGTAATGAATACTGACAATATTTTTATTTAAATCTTAAAACATTATGGGTCAAATCCCAACTCCATCAAAGTCATTATGTATGTCTTTGTCCCGATTTTCATTAGGGGGCTATTTAGCTAATGTCACTGGTAGGATTTTGATCACTTAGGCAGAATATGTAATTTTTGCTTTTCATCTTGAAATAAAAAGAAAGTTTAAAATCAAGAATAGGGGACTCAATGATTCAGGAATGCAAAATATTTTGCCTCTAACGCATGGGTTCAGATCCAGCCTGTGTTGGTAGTACTTAAGATTATAACCATCCGGAGGGTGCATCGGAGGCAAGAATTCTGAGTATCACTCCTGACTCTCACCATGACATACTAAGAGAGTTTAGATGAATTCTCAAACCTTTCTGTGCCTCAGTTTTACCCATCTACAGTAGGCTGAATAGATTTTTCACATGCCTGCTCATTGTGACACGGACACCTATTCCAAGAGTTGCCATTATATTGTTACTAACTGGCACCTTTATTGGCAGGCTAAGAAAGGCTGACAGAGCTCCCTTCTCACTCTTAAATGTGATTCAAAGTGTTATTGAAACACCGGGGCAAGGACTGAGTGGGAAATGTGTAGAACTGCTGTCTGGGCTCTCTGTGCACTGAGGATAAACAGAAGGGATTCACTCTCAGAATGGTCAATCCAGTACTAGGCTAAAAAGACAGAAATAAACCTCTTACCATCATAATCTTCATCCACCTCTACCTTGGATTTCCTTACTCTCCTCCTTGGGGGCTTCGGTCTCCTTACTGGGTAGCGAAGGTTGATGACGAGTCCTTGATTTGGCTTTTCATATGCGTATATTAAATCCTTTATTGTTTTGAAGACCCGTTGTGGAACGTCTTCAGAAGTCTAAAGGAAAGTGAAAAAAGCATTGCCATTGCATGTATGTTTCATCCATAGGGTGACCCTATTTCCCAAAGGGAAAACAGGACACCACCTGGCGCGGGGCTGTCCTGAGCCACTTGGCCAAGCTCCCTCCCCCCTGCACAGGGCTGGCGTCGCTGCTTGCCCAAGCACTGCCTGTCCCCCGCCCGAGTCCTACCTACCCCAGGCATGGGGCTGGCATCACTGCTCACCCTCCCCGCCCGCACATTCCTCCACACCCTGCTTTTTTCACAGAAGTGGACATTTGTCCCATTTGCTCTTGCCAACTGATCAAATTGGCAAAAGCAAACAGGACAAATGCCCACTTTTGCCAAAAAAGTGGGGATGGCCGGGACAAGGCTTAAAAAAGGGACTGTCCGGCCAAAACAGGACGTATGGTCACCCTATTCATCCAGAGTCCTGTAAGTGCATGACCAATAGTTCATTCTTAACTGAATGCTGAACAGATTTGGTGACTGATAGATAAATAAAAATAAAATGTTCAGTTATTTATAAAAGCACCAATCTTATCATAGAGAGAAGTGCTCATGTCGCAGCTACAGAGCTAGCTGTACCTCTGTCCCCTCTCTGGTCTCTCTGAGTGTACCCTCTTTGGTGATACAACTCTTGTCCTTATCTGTCTTAGGGTGGAATCACACAAGTCTCCCACTCTAAGACTGGGATCTGGTGCTTGTACCCTGTGTATACCAACCACTTATCACTCTGTAAGACCAACTGGATTTTAGGCACCTGCATTTCTTCCCTTTGGGAATCTCTGACCAGTGGTATAGTGACCAAAAGCCTCCTTAAAACAAAGTATTTGTATTTACCAGTTGTCGCAAAAGCGTTAGAGAGAAAAGGATTTTAGAGTAAACAGCCTACATGCATATTTAGTCTGACGCTTTGCTACAAGCTAAAACAGACGGCCTTTCCTCTTAAGTTAAAGGAATGTGGTTTGGCTCTGCCCTTTTAGGAAGCCACAGAACTCTTGGCACCCAGCCTGAATTCAGTTTCAGTCCCAGAGACTGTCCTTTTGAGGCCTCGTCTACACTAGAAAAGGTTTGCCAGGATAGCTGTTCCAGCAAATCTTCCTAGTGTAGAAACAGCTTATGTCCTAAAAAAATAAAATAGAAAGTGCTTCTGCTATAGCTTATACTTGGTTTCCCGAGTGAAATAAGATATACTGATATATCTGCATCTACACTGAGGCTTGTGCCAGTCAAGAAATACTGTTAAAAAGAGAGAGAGAGAAAGAAGTCACACTCTTAGCTGACATTTTTATGCCAGGGAAACTTTCTAGTGTACACCTTGCCTGAATTTCTCAAATAGTCAATCTGACCCACCCTGTTCTAAATGTTTTTGTTGCTTCCCCAGAACAGCAGCTCTCCTGCCGGCATAATAAAACTACCCGCAACAAGCGGCGTTAGCTATGGCGGCAGGAGAGCCTCTCCTGTCAACATAGCGCTGTCCACACCAGCACTTTTGCTGGTGAAACTTAAGTCGGTCAGTGGAGTGGTTTTTTCACACTCCTGACTGACAAAAGTTTTATCGACAAAAGTGGTAGTGTAGACAAAGCCTTAGGGAATCAAAGTTCACGTTCCAAACATCATCCATCACATTCAGCTGGGTGTATAGCAGTCTCCTATGCTCAACATTGTAAACAGCACTGAGACACTCGGGAGGTGGTCATGTATGTGATTGAGGGCCCAGGCTGCTGTGATCGAGGGGAGAAGGCTTTCAAGAATTGTGGTGGGAAAGATAAGGCTTGGAAGTTATCCGCCTATAAAAAAGGGTATGCTGTAATGCCAATTCCAAGGGTTCCAAAATCAGGAGATTGGCTTAAAAGGGATACTTTTAAAAAAGTACTTTTGAGTTATTTTTGTCTTCTGACGTCATAGTCTTTAGGTTGAGCAGTCTGTCTGCAAACTTTGCTCTGCAACCATAAAGGACAGAATGAATAAACACAGGCCATCAAATTCCACTCAGATACCCACCACCAATACCTGATGCCCCTGGAATGCCAGGGAATTAGTTTGGTGAGATATCCCCAGATGATCCTAGCAAGCAGTCTATACTCTGTGGTGTAGAGGAAAGCAACAAAATAAAATAAAGCAGAATGCCCTTGCTTAGAAATCCAGCCCAAATCAGTAATGCTCAAAAGCAGCTCTCGGAGCATTACAGTCACACGAAAATATTATATACAGATCTTTTTAAAAGGAAAGGACTAATTCCAAAATTCAAAACCCCTTAACATTCAGAAGCACAAGGTGTTTGTACACAGGACCCATCAATGTCTTTGGTGAAATGGAAGCGCATTCCATCAGAAAAAGGAAGAAAAAGTATGTGAGTAGATACTCAAGAGAGAGATTTTATGCTGTCAAAAATACATGGTCAAATCAGTAGCTATGGGCAAGCCACGCAATAAATGATGGATACAAAGAGATTACTGTGGAGATAGCAATGGTGTGTTACTTCCAAGCTAGTGGGTAATGACAGAAAGTGTTGTCAAGGGTTGTGTGGGGTAGACTGCAGGTATGAAAATACCTTGTGAAGGTGAGATTTTATGTATATGATTTTTTAATTAGAAAATGACATTAAACAATATTTTTTCTTGCAGATGAAATGACATTTTTTACCTGAATCCTAAGGTAACCTTCATGTTCCCTGAAGATTCGATAAGTGTAGATGAGCCGTTCAAAGCTGTGAAGAGATACCCTTTCATAAGTTGTTTTTTATCAACATTCAAGGAACAACAATGGCTAGACACCACTACATCTAAAACTTTTGGTGGAAGTATTTTTTTTTTAAATGTAAACCAAGCTAAAACAATAAACGACTAAAACCCCAGGGAGCCAATCTCAGGAAATGTCTGTCATTACATTTTTTGCTAACAACAATTACATACCATTTAAATCTCTTCTAAAGTACAAAGTATGTCACTTGTACAAACAGCTATTTTAGAAAATGCTTAGCCATTTAATTAGTGACGGTAGATACCCCAAAGCTAACTTTGCAGCCTAAATCTAAAGAAAAAGCAGGAGTTCCTTAAAACAGATATAGTGTCCATTTACCTTTTTAAAAGGGCACCTGAAGTGTATTGTGTGCATTTATAAACACTTGCTTTCAAGCACTACCATGAAAGGATACTGGAGAGTTTTGGGCACACATTCATTTTTACATTAGATTTATGTTAGAGCTGTCAATTAATCACAGTTAACTCAAGCAATTAAATCAACACAAATTAACTCGATTAAAAAATTAATCGCGATTAAACACAATTATAATCACATTGTAAAATAATAATAGAATACCAATTTAAATGTATTCTATTTTTTGATATTTTCTACATTTTCAAATATACTTATTTCAGTTACAATACAGAATACAAAGTATGCAATGCTCACTTTATATTATTATTTCTGATTACAAATATTTGCACTGTAAAAAGATAAATAAAAGAAACCGTATTTTTCTATTCATCTCATGCAAGTACTGTAGTGCAATCTCTTTTATCATGACAGGGCAATTTACAAATGTGGAATTTTTTATTTTTTTACATAACTGCACTCAAAAATAAAACAATGTAAAACTTTAGAGCTTACAAGTCTACTGAGTCCTAAATCTTGTTCAACCAATCTCTAAGACAAACAAGTTTGTTTACATTTACAGGATATAATGCTGCCCACTTCTTATTTACAATGTCACCTGAAAGTGAGAACAGGCGATCACATGGCACTTTTGTAGCTGGCATTGCAGAATATTTACATGCCAGATATTCTAAACATTCATATGCCCCTTCATGCTTCAACCTCCATTCCAGAGGACATGTGTCCATGCTGAAGACGGGTTCTGCTCAATAACGATCCAAAGCAGTGTGGCCTGATTTCACCTGAGTCAGATGCCACCAACAGAAGGTTGATTTTCTTTTTTTGGTGGTTTGGGTTCTGTAGTTTCCCCATCAGAGTGTTACTCTTTTAAGACTTCTGAAGGCATGCTGAACACCTCATCCCTCTCAGATTTTGGAAGGCACTTCAGATTCTTAAACCTTGGGTCGAGTGCTGTAGCTATCTTTAGAAATCTCACATTGATACCTTCTTTGCGTTTTGTCAAATCTGCAATGAAAGTGTTCTTAAAACGAACAACATATGCTGGGTCATCATCTGAGACTGCTATAACATGAAATATATGGCATAACGTGGGTAAAACCACAGAGCAGGAGACATACAATTCTCCTCCCAAGGAGTTCAGTCACAAATTTAATTAACACTTTTTAAAATGAGCATCATCAGCATGGAAGCATGAAGGAGCATACAAATATTTAGCATATCTGGCACGTAAATACCTTGCAATGCTGGCTACAAAAGTGCCATGCGAACATCTGTTCTGACTTTCAGGTGACGTAAATAAGAAACGGACAGCATTTATCTCCTGTAAATGCAAACAACTTGTTTGTCTTAGCGATTGGCTGAATAAGATGTAGGACAGAGTGGACTTGTAGGCTATAAAGTTTTACATTATTTTATTTTTGAGTGTAGTTATGTAAAAAAATAAAAAATTCTACATTTGTAAGTTGCACTTCCATGATAAAGAGGTTGCTCTACAGTAATTGTAGGAGATGAATTGAAAAATACTATTTCTTTTGTCTTTTTTACAGTGCAAATATTTGTAATAAAAATAATAATATAAAGTGAGCACTGTACACTTTGTATTCTGTGTTGTAATTGAAATAGAATACCATTTATTTAAATATTTTTGGATGTTTTCTACATTTTCAAATATATCTATTATTGTTTAACAGTGCAATTACAACTGTGATTAATTGCGATTTTTTTTTAACCTCGTGATTAATTGTTTTATTTGTTTAACAACCCTAATTTACAGGGCTTTGGAGCGGAGCCCGGAGCTGGAGCGCGGAGCAGCTCTGGAGCAGTGGAGCTGCAGATTTTTGCCTGGAGCTGGAGCAGAGCCGGAGCACAGCTCCAAAGCCTTGCTAATTTATCAGTCTAGAGTTTTCAGACCCTGGAAACAGACATCGGTTTGTCTGATGTGGTTGCTTCAAGTTATGTTTTAAAAACAAAGGGTGGTTAAATGTGACTATGTAAAAATAGCACTTTCTTCGCATGCAAGATCTGTTCAGGTAGTTTTTAGGATCCAGATTTGCTTATCTTAGATTAAAGTAATCTTCTTCTTGTTCCTGTGCAGAAGCAGCACAGCTAAGAGCCTGTCTGTAGTGCAGTCACTAGGTGTGACTGCAGATGGAGCAGACATACCAAAGCTAACTTTAATTTAGCTAGCTCAGGTCCAGAACAATGAAGCTGTGGCAGCACAAGCTTTAACGTGGGGTATCCAAACCTACCCAGAACCCTAAAGCTTGGCCTGCCCATGGGGATTCCAGGTGTGATAATAAGCCAGGTCACTTTAACCTGGAGTATATCTGATTGGGCTGAATTGCAGCTAGAGATATATATGGGACTTGACCTTTAACATACTACCATGCCAACAGTATGCAAAGCATCCTGTGTGCCACCCTTCCAACCTTTTCAATTTCAGGGACTTCTAACTACCGACACCTCCCTCATGCCAGAGGTGTTTACCGCCCTCCTCTCCCCACCATGCCCAAAGTCTTCACTCCCTCCTATGCCAGAGGCAATGTGTGCCTCTTTCTTCTGCAGAAGTATTTTGTACACTAACTAGGGATATGCAGCTTATTTAAGTTTCTGGCCTGTGAGATCACTTTCACATTTGCTACTTATTCACCTTTAAGGATGTAATAACTTCCACTTGTGATTGTCTTAAAATTAATACAATTTTTAAGTATAAGTACAGTACTTACAAAACACAAAGACACAAGGCTCCTGCCACGCTCTCGCTCTCTCGTAATAAAAAGCTGCCATCCTTGCCTTTCTTGCTTAGTAATTCTTCACAGGTTTTTCTCGTTATGTTTCCATGATAAAATGGGAACTCCATGGAAGAACAGCAATCAGACCCCTTGCCTTTATAACTGATTCCAGGTGAATTCAGCAGTCTGGCATGAAAATGAAGTTGGCTAGAGGATGTTGAAACTGAAACTGTGTGGTAGGAGAAGATTTTCTTGAAGCATTGAGTGTGTTAGTGGGTTCATCTGTGTGGTTGTCACTGACCGTTCTGGAAAGCTCTTCTAGCAGACAGAGAGCAAATGAATATGATCAACACAGGAAATGTGAAATGGCCAGTGGTGTAGCTGAAATAGGCCCCATCCTCCAACGCTTCATTATAAGATCATGTTTTCCAATGCTCATAGCTTTGGCAAAGTTTAATCTATTGGGCTGATATTTTTCCTGTTAGGTGTGCACCTCAGGTGGGGGTGGGTGGGAGGGGGAAGAAGGGGGAGTATCCGCAAATGTTGCTCAACTATTTGAGAACAAAATTAGAGAAAAACATGTTTTACCCATGTTAAATATTGTACACAACCATTTTGTGGAGCAGCTGTAGTGCAGCCATGATTTAGGACATGGAATGTGAAATCTGGCTGGGCGGTGGGTTGCTCTGCTGTCAAGGATGTCCCTTCTGCTGTCCCCATGAAAATCTACTCAAACTTGGCCAAATTATAACTCTTTGAAAAATGTTGCAATTCACACATGCTCAGCAGAGACTATTTAGAGTTTGGCAGCTAAATTTGCCCAAGATTCAGTCTGTACTGAGCATGTGCCAGCCCAGGGATGTAGGGACAAAGCCGAACTTTCATTGGAATTGCTGCTCCCAGCCACAGAGGCAGCAGAACTGAGAGCAGTGAATTTGTCTTTCCTGTGCTCTCAGTGGCAGGGCCGGCTCCAGGGTTTTTGCCACCCCCAAGCAGCGAAAAAAAACAAAAAAAAGCCGCAATCGCGATCGGCAGCAGCTCCACTGCGCCACTTTCTTCTTTGGCGGCAATTCGGGACCCTCCGCCGAATTGCCGCCGAAAAGCCCGACGTGCCGCCCCTTCCCCTTGGCCACCCCAAGCACCTGCTTGCTCAGCTGGTGCCTGGAGCTGGCCCTGCTCAGTGGTCTCCCTTTTACTGCCCAGGTAGCATGGAGAAGGAGGGAGCATTCTGAGTTGAATGCAGAGGGGACAAGAGGCAGACTTGGGGGTGTGGCAAAGGAGGGATTAGATTGGAATGAAGAAGGGAAACCCAGAGGAGGAATCCAGGACTACTAAAGCAAAGAGACTAAGGCTACGTCTTCACTACTCGCCGATCCGGCGGGTAGCAATCGGTCTATAGGGGATCGACTTACCGCGTCTAGTGAAGACGCGATAAAATCGATCCCTGATGGCTCTACCGTCGACTCCGGAAATCCACCGCGGAAAGAGGCGGTAGCGGAGTCGACGGCGGCGCGGCAGCGGTCGACTTGCCGCCGTCCTCACAGCCAGGTAAGTCAACCTAAAATACGCCACTTCAGCTACGCTATTCACGTAGCTGAAGTTGCGTATCTTAGGTCGACCCCCCGCTGTAGTGTAGACCTAGCCTAAGACTAGTCTGAGGAACCTGTAAAGTGTAGAAGGCGCAAGAGACACACAGAACTAGGACAGAATAGTCTGTGAGATTATGCCCATTCAAATATATTCCCCTCGAGAGCCTGGAATGGAACCCAAGATTCCCAAGACTCACCATTCCTCTGCTGTCTGCCAATATCTGGCGAACTTGGCTGCATCATTACATCTATAACTGGCACGATGAGAAAGATCGAGATGGTTCATCAGTAGGCTGAGTTTGGTCCACTTATTCCCACTTCCTTATTCAGATTCCCAATTCCTTATTCAAAAGATGAAGTTCATTACTCATTCCCAGATTGAAATTTTAACTTTAAAAGAATTACCATTCTAAAACTGGGAATCTGCACTATGCTATTTGGCCACACTGTACCAATGCTCCTAAGTAACTAGGGAGATGAAAAGACTGTAAGTGACAAAAGAGATCTCCATTCACCAAGCAATACAGCTCTGCAATCCCTACAATTCTGGATAGGAAAGGATCATCTAGGGATCTGCAGGATGTGTTATTTACCATACATTTGTAACGTTTAGTTGGGAGTGAGGGGCTGATCTGTAAAGCAATTTTGCACAGAAATCCAATACCATGTCAGAGATCACAGGGTCCTGCAGTCCAGTGTTGTCTAGTGGTCTCAGATGTATCATTTGAGGTTACCTAAGAGCTATTTTGTTGAGAATCCAGTTATTCTACTTACAGACAATTTGGATGTGAACGAGAGTTAGGGTGGGGTTGGGAAGGGCTGTCACAAATTTCCACACACTGAGGATTCACACACACACACACACACACACACACACACACACACACACACACACATTTTTATATCAATTCATTTTACATAATTCCATGCCATTTTTGACTAATAGCTGTTTAAGAATATATGGTTTGACTTTGGCTACAAAGGAACCAACTTCAACCTTGGAAGCTAAAAATCAGATATTTAAATCCCAGTCCCATATTCCCTTCTAAGAATGATTAAGAGCCAGGAAAGCCATAGGTTCTTTGACATCATGAGGAACAAAGCAGCATAGTGCACAGGTAAATACCATACCTCCCCACAGTCCTGGGTTTCACTTCAAATCCTGCTTTGACCCACTTCCTCCCCCTCCCCTCCCCGCAAACTCCATCCCCATTGAAGAAGAACATTTCCCACATTCAGTGCTGTACACCAGTGGTTCTCAAACTAGGGCCACCGCTTGTTCAGGGAAAGCCCCTGGCGGGCCGGGCCGGTTTGTTTACCTGCCGCGTCCGCAGGTTCGGCCGATTGCGGCTCCCACTGGCCGCAGTTCGGTGCTCCAGACCAATGGGGGCTGCAGGAAGGGCGGCGAGCACATCCCTCAGCCCACGCCGCTTCCTGCAGCCCCCATTGGCCTGGAGCAGCAAACCGCAGCCACTGGGAGCCGTGATCAGCCGAACCTGCGGATGCGGCAGGTAAACAAATTAGCCCAGCCTGCCAGGGGCTTTCCCTGAACAAGCGGCGTCCCAAGTTTGAGAACCACTGCAGTAGAGAGCCTCAGGGGCCCAGCATCAGACATGATTCGCACCCTGAAGCTCAGTAACCCTGGGGTCAGTGTGAAGGACTGCCTAGAACAGTGGTTCTCAGCCAGGGGTCTGGGGCTCCCTGGGGGGCCGCGAGCAGGTTTCAGGGGGGCCGCCAAACAGGACCAGCGTTAGACTCGCTGGAGCCCAGGACAGAAAGCCGAAGCCCCACAGCACGGGGCTGAAGCTCAGATCCCTGAGCCCTGCCACCTGGGGCTGAAGCAGAAGCCTGAGAAATGTAGCTCAGTGCTCCCGGTGCTTCTCAGTGCTCCCGGTGGTTTGGAGCCTCAGGCAATTGCCCTGCTTGCAGCCCCTTAATGCCAGCCCTGACTTTTATATGCAGAAAACCAGATGTGGCACAGAAAGGCCGTGGAGTTTTTATAGCATGTCGGGGGAGGAGGGCTCAGAAAGAAAAAGGTTGAGAACCTCTGGCCTAGAGGCCCTCAATCACACCTTTGGGAACACAACGAACTCTGAGGATATTTATTTTAAGTTCCTTAATGTCCGACAGCAAAGGGGCAAGAAGGTTTCAGCTTATATACAGAGGCTGGAGAAACTGCTACAGAGAGCTGTCAAGAGGGGAACAGTGACTGCTGAGCAGATGGATCAGACTAGACTGGCTCACATTGTAAGAGGAAATCAATATCAAACTCAATTCTACTTCATCTTCAGTTAAGAGAACAATAGGAAAGAAGAAAGGCAGCCAGCGAATTTTGGGAAGTCCAATCATGTGACCCAGCCAACACAGCACTGCTGGGAACAGCCAGTGTACTGATGGTAAGCACCAGAGAGGAACTTGCCTAACAAGTATGGGATCTGATGGCACAGATGTCTGAACTACACACAACATTAACAAAATGCTAATCATGTGAGCAGAAAACAGGAAATAGAGGAAGTGGTCACTTGTATTTTGACCATATAATAAAAGCGGATATGTGGGAGAAGAAAAACAATGCTGAGCTCCAACTCTATCTGCTGTGGTCTTTGATTCTTTCTGTAATATGTGAAAACTGCCATGATGCAGGTTCCTCTCAAAATAGCATCATAAAATTAAAATATGACTCAGATTTACAGTGCAAACTTGACCAAACTAGGTTTTCAACATATTACCAGACCACATTGAAGACTGCAATGTCCAAGGCTGTAGTATGATTTAGGTATATAGTTTGGTCTCATCTACATTGCAAGACCAACCCACATTTTAAGCCTATTCAGTGTGCGGCTTCATTGTAACTGGGCTCTCCAATTAGATAGATTTTTCCATTGTAGACAGGCTCTTTGTTACAGCAGGATAATCAGATCTTCAGACTGAAAGAGGATAGTCATAATGTAAATTCAAGAAGCAAATGTAATTGCCAAGATCTGTAGATAATAGGTGTTACTAGAGTCAGTTTTGCAACACTAGAATAAAGATATATTATTAGATTGCCTCCAAACTGAAAAGCTAAGAGGAAACTTGATCCCATAATTCTCTTTAGAGTTTTTAGCTTATTTTTATGAAGGAATTAGGAAACAGAATAACCATCCAAATTTGCCTCTGATAAATCAGAATTTAAAAAGCAACATACCTAACTGTAGCCTTATCCACAATACCATTAGCAGATTGACCACCAAAATTTCCATCCTGCAGGAAATTCCAATATTTCAACATCGGTTTTCGGTCTATACATAAGTTGCGAAAAATTTTGATTCACAAATGTTGAAAGAATAAGATTAGACATTTTCTAGCAAAATGAAATGTTTCAGCATTACCAGTTGGAAGCATTTTGCGGCATGAGGCACCTCAGCCTCTCAGGTGGCATGTGCTGGAAGTGTTCTGGCACTTTTGCCACATGGAGGACGCAGTTTTGTTTTGAAAATGGCATCCTCCGCATTCACCGTGTGCGTGAAGTCTTGCTGGCAGGGGCGCTCCGGTAGTCT